ATTATTATTATTATTAATTATTATTATTATTACATGTTTTTGGATCCCGTTTTACTTTTTTTGAGAAGTTCAGGGTGTCCCATTGCACTAGGTATTTTATCTTGTGAAATGATTGCCATGATGTGTGGGGAACTGCTAGTAACTGAGTAAGTCTTATACTCTTTTCACAGTCCCATCTTTTTTTCCAATAGTTGTTCTACATATTAGTGTCACTGTATGACCAGAAGCACTCCGTTTTGCTCAGTTTGTATCATGCAGATGTGGTCAGTGTACTATCTCGCCATTAGCTACAACTCACGAACAGGAACATTTGTTTTGACTTAAAACTGTTCTTTCATTTCGGATTTCTTTAGCAACTGGCAATGCAGAGCACTCTCGATGCCTACCTCCAGCCTGTTGAAGAGAAACCGACCAAACGACCTCGGTCTGACGGAGATCAGAACAGGACTGTGGGCCCAGCTCCTGACGGCGACAGCAACAAAGTGAAACAGAGCTCACATAAAGGCCAGGTGAAGTATTTCTCTGATCATTCTTCTTGTGAAAAAAGTTTTGGTCTTTTTTGTTGTCTTCTCCTTTCTCTACTGCAAGTGGTTGGTGGGTGCTCTGGTAGGATCTGTTTGTTCTTCTTTTAAAAACTACACTGGTCCTCTTGTGTTCCTAGTGAAATGAGGTCACGATTACAATTGAAAATATTCAAGGAGACCAAGAATGGTCGAGGAGAAAAATGGTTATCTTACTTAGTAAAATAAATTCTTAGGGAGGTGGACGTCAGTGTCTTGAACAGTGTCATTAAATATTTTTAACAATGAAAGTTGAGAGGGTGCAGTCATTATTGGGACATCTACGCGGTGCTGCAGACCCCGGAACAAGTACAGCTCCGGGCCGAACGCCAATCAACCCCTGGATTCAGACAGGAACGGAGGCGACCGAGCCACCGGAGAGGGACAAAGAGAAGGACCTTACCGTCAGACAGAGAAGAGTGTTATCGCAGCTAAGATGCAACGCGAAGAGCCCCATCCTGCAGACATATCTCCATGCAATAGGCTCCGCTCCCAATGATTCCTGTCTGGCGTGTGGCACAAGTCCTGACGACCTGCAGCACGCACTGTATGAGTGCCCGGGGGGGGGAAGCACATTGAGGCCCACTTATGGAGAACAACGCGAGACCGGGCCCGGATGTACTCAGGACGAGGCCACAAGAGGTTGCCGCTTACCTGTCTGCCTGCATCAGACTGCCGCCCTCCTGACGGAGGCCAGCCAGAAGAAGAAAAAGAAGAAGAAGAGAGGGTGGGGGGAGGGGGGGAATGGGAAGTAGTTCAGATGTTATACCTTAACTCTCAGGCCAACGTGCCTGGTGTAATATACTACAGTTTGTATTGGTGGCTGGTGGATGACTGGGGATTTGTCTCAGATTTTTCACTGCCGAGGTTGGTTTGGTAGAGTTCATGGTTTTTGAGATACAGGCAGAAAGTTTGAAAGTTCTGTATGCTGAACGCCTTTATGGTTGGAAATTGAAGAAGAACAGGCCTCTTGACAAAGTTCAGAGGTAATTCTCTTATGTCTAATCAATTTTGCACAAGACTGTTCTCTTATGCCAAGGACAAATGTGTCTCCATGCGATGGAATTAGGCTCATGTAAATTTTTGGGCGTATTGAGTTATTGGTATAATCTTAAAGTTTGATCATGTTTACTTTGATTTTGATTTTTTTTTAAATAACTTTCTCTCTTGAATAGAAGTCGAGATATTTATGATTGAAGGAAGTAGGGGTCACCGAGTGTTAGAGGTAAGATAGTGAGAAAATGGTCTCCAAAATTTTGTGACTTCCAAAGCTGTAGTGTCCTTGGAAACTATAAATTTGCATTTTTGTG